TAATAAACCAGTAATCAAGTAAGTAGAATGTTTCTCTGAGTTCTTTGAGCTATTCTAGCAAATTAGTCAAATCCAAGGAAGGGGTCACTGGAACCTCCTGTCTATGATCTGTCAGTCAGAAGCACAGGTAACAACCTGGTCTTGCAGATGACATGGTGAGGGTTGGGGATAGAGGCAGTCTTTTGGGACCAAGTCCTTAACTTACAGTATTTGATGCTATCTCCAGGTAGGTAGCATCAGAATTGAGTTGAATATTAAGATGCCCATCTGGTGTTGGAGAACTGTTTGTTGGTGTGAGGGAAAACCATATGCTGGAACTCGGTACAAGATTGTAATGACTTTGTGGTGTCCTTGTACTGTATGATTGTACTATACTTTAACCACTTATATTAAACTTTTATGGTTTCCAATGTTTTGCTCTTAAAATTAGCAATGTGAGGGCTGGGCAAAATGGGTGAAGGGGAAAGGGAGAAACGTGCTTCCAGTTGTCGAATGGGTAAGTCAGAGGAATAGAAGGCATAGGAAATATAGTCAGTGATACTGTAATAGTATTGTATGGTGACAGATGGTAGCTACACTTGTGGTGAGCACAGCATAATGTATAAACTTGTCAAATCACTATGTTGTACATCTGAAATTAATGTAACTGTGTATCAACTAAAACAGTTTTTAATTAAAATAATAAAATCAGCACTGTGATAATCATCTTAATATCTCAAGGCTTTGCCCACATGCTTAATTATCTCCTTAGAATAAATTCTATATTTACTCATTTATTTATTATTATTCTAGATTCCAATTCTAGAAATGGAATTGGTGAGTTAAAGGGGGGACTCATATTTAAGGTTTGTTTTTGTGCTGCCCACTATCTCTACTGACAGTGTTCAGCAGTATATAAAAATGTTTGCATGAATCTCTGCAAATTTGGGATTCATTTATTAAAGCCAATACTATAACATCATAAAGAACATGTTTAAAGTCATAAAGTAGTTACACTTTTTCTAATCACAAGGGATATTTTATAAAATTGTGGGAAAATTCTCAGGTACCAAAATAGATCCTACAGAAATTGATATGATGATTTAAACCAGCTAAGAGTAACAATAACATGGCAATACAAGAGGATAGTCTTAAGGGTATTTTTCAGCAACTTTCCTTTAAAAAGAGTTTTATGTTAAAATATAGCATTAATACAGTTTTTTTTTAACATGAAAAATGAAAAGTTGTGGAAACCAGAGAATTCTGTTATTCCCACTTATGAAAAACATACTGCTGTTAGGAAGATTTTCAAACATATGGAATAGTTACAAAGCTGTAGACATTAATTACTTTATACATCTAAATACTTTGCTGTGTATCACCTAAGACTAAGGACATTATCCTAAAGAGAATAATTTATCCTACCAAATAAAACTAAATACTATTTCCTTAATATCTTGTACTCCAGTATTTTTTCAAATTTTCATCAGATGTCCCTAGAATTTCTTAAATGTTTTTTATGGAAGAGCATCAAGTCAAGGGTTCATGTGTCACGTTTGGTTGTTTAATCTCTTAATCTGTGTTTATGTGAGTTTTATCTTGTTTAGTGATAAATAAGTTTATTATATTCCATTCTCTCAAGATAGAAATGGTAGAGAAAAATTAGTTTTGAAGATCCTGAAGTGAATCATTACTAGAGACGTATGTTTTGTTTCAAAATATTGGTCATGTGCCTTCAACCTCAAAACTATATATACATTAATTAATAACTTTTATAGGTTCACATCAGGGTTTATTTTTATTTTTTAATTTGACCCATTCTATTTATTTTTTCTTTTAGGAATACTTTTAGTTGGACCACCAGGGACAGGGAAGACACTTCTTGCTCGAGCTGTGGCTGGAGAAGCTGATGTTCCTTTTTATTATGCTTCTGGATCAGAATTTGATGAAATGTTTGTGGGTGTGGGAGCCAGCCGTATCAGAAATCTATTTAGTATGTTTTAATGTATCTTTCATAAAATACGAAATTTTGTTAATTTAAGGGAAAGAGGGCTTCTTACCTTTTATTTGCTACTTGATTATGATTGATAGCTGACCTAGCCATTGCGGGGTTTTGGTTTTAGGTAATTTAAAGTGTGAGCTAAAACAGAACCGTGCTTTTTCCCCAAATAGAAGAGCTAGAAGTGTTAGATGAGGTTGGGGCCTGTTGAAAAGCTGGGGTTTTTTTTGTTGTTATCCTTTTTATCTTATTCATCAATTCAATAGCATGTAATTAAAGAATAATTAGCCTCCAGTCTGATTGTATATGGTTTGTACAGTGGAAGAATGAATACTCCGTTTTTATTATATATCATTTTCTATGGTACAGTTTTTTTTCCCGAGGCTACTGTTCTTATATCAGTTTTAAAAGAAAGAAAGCTCTCCTTTTGTGTATTTTCTCCTTAATGAATGTCTTCTGTTGGCTTTTGACAGTCTTACAGGTTTTTAATACTTACATGATTTTGTTCAAAAAGTATTGATTTCATTAAACTTACTTGAATCTTTTCTCTTTTCCTAGGGGAAGCAAAAGCAAATGCTCCCTGTGTTATATTTATTGATGAATTAGATTCTGTTGGTGGGAAGCGAATTGAGTCTCCAATGCACCCATATTCAAGGCAGACTATAAATCAACTTCTTGCTGAAATGGATGGGTAATTGAATCTTCCTCTGTCTTTGGTATATGGTGATATATTTGGTAACATTCGAGAAATAGCGGGGTGTCTGGCTGGCTCAGTCAGTGGAGCATGCAGCTCTTGATCTCGTAGTTGTGTGTTTGAGCCCCACATGGGGTATAGAGATTTCTTAAAAATAAAATCTTAAAGAGAAAGAAATAGAAAAAAATGTAGGCAACAGAGTAGTCCCTGTGCAAGAAGTCAAGACAAGCTGCATTCTCTGTATTGTGTTCTTTGCATTACTAATGGGGTGATTGACATATCAACTCTTCTTAACTGGTGATCTCTATACCTTTTTTCATTAATTGTATGATGACAGGAAAGTGATGATTCCAGTTGAGAATACTAGTCTATTTGGAGATGTAAAGAGTGTATGCTGGTTCCTACACAATTTGTGACTAGGTATTAGTGTTGTGGTAGATTAAAAGTTTGTATCAGTTTTTATAATATAAAGAGCAAGATGTGGGATTGCTTTGAAAGAAGGAAAAACTTCTTAAAACCATATAAGACATTTTGGAACCAAACAGGAAGTCTAGGAGCAAATAATTTGAATTGGTAAACTTGAGAATAGTTTTTCACAAATGAGTCAGGTACCCAAGCCTTTTCTTTTTTTTTTTTAAAGATTTTATTTATTTGACAGAGAGAGACACAGCCAGAGAAGGAACACAAGCAGGGGGAGTGGGAGAGGGAGAAGCAGGCTTCCCGCTGAGCAGGGAGCCTGATGCGGGGCTCGATCCCAGGACCCTGAGATCATGACCTGAGCCGAAGGCAGACGCTTAACGACTGAGCCACCCAGGCACCCCTACCCAAGCCTTTCCTGTCAGGTCATGTCTTCCTAAGTAGAACAAATACCGTGAAGGCATGTAATCATAGATGACTTTGTGACTTATTATTAGCATTTTTATTGAAGTGTACTGGCCTAATAACATTTGTTCCTTTTAAAAAATAATAGAGATGTCTTATCACTTTGGGTATAAAAAAGATCAGTCCCTCTTCTTTGCTGTTACTAAGTTTAATGATAAACAGTTTTGTGTAGAGCATTTCTATATGTGTACTCTTAATATTCAGTGAAACGTTACTTTTTTTTTTTTTTAATAGTTTTAAACCCAATGAAGGAGTTATCATAATAGGAGCCACAAACTTCCCAGAGGCATTAGATAAGTACGTATTAAAAGACTTTTTTGACAAGTACTGATGCATACTGAACCATGGATGAACTTTAAAAGAGAAAGAAGCTCATCACAAAACATCACATATGATTCTTTTTATATGAAATGTCCAGAATAAGCAAATCGGTGGCAACAGAAAGTAGATTAGTGGTTGCCAGAGGATGGGAAGAATGGAGAGTAGTGACTGTTGGTGGCTGTGGGGTTTCTTTTGGGGTGGGGGAATAAAAATATTCTTGAGTTAGATTGTTGATAATTGCACAACTTTGAATATATTAAAAACCACTGGATTATCTACTTGAGATTCTGTGATACGTGATTTAAATTTCAGTAAAGTCATTAATCTTCTGACAACTTTATATCACAGAATTTGGGGGTGGTGGAGAGCATTTTTAAAATAAAATTTATTATAGTTTTAAATTTTTGATTTTATCATAGAAGTTACTCATATTTTAATTTGATCTAATAGTTTTATCTTTGCCTAAGTCTGTAGTTTAACATTCTGTACTTACAGCAGTTGTGATAGGAAGCTATCACAGTGTAGCTCTCATAATAGACTGCTCTAGAATTATTTTTCCTTGAGTGACTGGCTTGCGTGTTTTTGTTTTTGAGGGTTGTGTATTACCTCTCTCTGTCAACCTTTGTTCTGCCTTCTGGTTATTGAAACTGTTACTTGAGTCATGTTTTACAAGGAGTTACCTGAATATTTATGTTCAAAACTCCAATCTAGGGTGAAATAGGTGATGGGGATTAGGGAGTGCACCTGTTGTGATGAGCACTGGGTGATGTGTGGAATTGTTGAATCACTATATTGTATACCTGAAACTAATATAGCACTGTATATTAACTGTCCTGGAATTAAAATAAAAACCAAAACTCCAGTCTAACCTCTGGTTGCCATTATCCTTCCATCTTGACTTTAGAGTGTCAGTCCTATTTAATTTGACCTTCAGTGTACTCAGATTATTAATTTATATTTTCTTCTTCTCCCTTTAGTGCCTTAATACGTCCTGGTCGTTTTGACATGCAGGTTACAGTTCCAAGACCAGATGTAAAAGGTCGAACAGAAATTTTGAAATGGTATCTCAATAAAATAAAGTTTGATCAGTGTAAGTCTGATTCCAGTAATAAACTTTATTATTATCTCTATAAAATGGTAATATTTCATTCTGCCCTGTTTGTGGTTACTTGACAAATGTCTCAAAAGACCAGTTTTTTATATGTCCTTTTTTTCTCTCCATTTATATGTCCTTTTTTTAAAGATTTTATTTATTTGACAGAGAGAGACACAGCGAGAGAGGGAACACAAGCAGGGGGAGTGGGAGAAGGAGAAGCAGGCTTCCCACAGAGCAGGGAGCCCGATGCGGGGCTCGATCCCAGGACCTTGGGATCATGACCTGAGCCGAAGGCAGACGCTTAACAACTGAGCCTCCCAGGCGCCCCTTATATGTCCTTTTTAAAAAGTTTATTTCTTGGGGCACCTGGGTGGCTCAGTCTGTTAAGCAGCTGCCTTTGGCTCAGGTCGTAATCCCAGGGTCCTGGGATTGAGCCCTGAATAGGATTTTCTGCTCAGCAGGGGAGTCTGATTCTCCATTTCCCTCTGCCCCTGTTCATGTTCTCTTTCTCACTCACTCTCTCAAATAAATAAATAAAATCTTAAAAAAAAAAAGACTGTTTTCTTTAGATTATTTCGATAAATAATACTTGAAAATAAATATATATATAACTGTTTTTAAGATGAATGTAATAGTAGAAAAAACACATAATCACTTTGGGCCCAAAAGAAGCAAACTGTAAAACAAAACACATGAAAATATTATGGACCCACTTAAGTAATAAATGCAGCTATTAATCTGCAGTATTTTCAAAGATAGGTGAATCAATTTGTAAAACCAGCTATGTTTCTTATAATTGGAGCTTTTATAAATGTACATAAAATACTGAATACTTATGTATAAAGTATTTCAAGATGAAATTCAGAAAACAAAATGTCTTTTTTTTTTTTAAAGATTTTATTTATTTATTTGACAGTGAGAGACAGCAAGAGCAGGAACACAAGCAGGGGGAGTGGGAGAGGGAGAAGCAGGCCTCCCACTGAGCAGGGAGTCCGATGCGGGGCTCGATCCCAGGACCCTGGGATCATGACCTGAGCCAAAGGCAGACGCTTAACGACTGAGCCACCCAGGTGCCCCAATAAACTGTTGTCTGAATATACATTTTCAGTTTGTGCTTAGGCTAGTAACAATTTAGGTTATAATTTGAAGGTTTATAAATCAAGTCTGGCAACTCTGAATTTCTTTGTTTTTTTTTTCCACAAAGTTCTTTAAGAACTTCTGTGATTTGTCCCGCTGGTAGTTTTAATGATATATTTAATGGCAATTTTGGCTTTTTCCTTTAGAAAAATAAGTTTATTTTGTAGTTACAGTGAAATAAATATTTTAAGTTCTAGTTCAGGATAGCTGTTTTCTTTTTTCTTTTGGAATGCGAGTTGTTTCTGAAGAGTTGTTCTGGAATTTTAATATTGTGTTTGTCTGTGTAGCTGTTGATCCAGAAATTATAGCTCGAGTTACTGTTGGCTTTTCTGGAGCAGAGTTGGAGAATCTTGTGAACCAGGCTGCATTAAAGGCAGCTGTTGATGGAAAAGAAATGGTTACCATGAAGGAACTAGAGTTTTCCAAAGATAAAATTCTAATGGGTAGGTTTTCTCTCCCCTTTTTTCTTTTTCCCTGTCTTAACACTGTTCATTATGTTAAAGAATAAATTCTTTTTGAGAAAAAGGTTATAAAAAAGAAAGGTACAGGAGTAAGAAAATACATACTCAAAAATAGCCACACAATTGGGCCTCTTACAGAACAAATATAGTTTGTATGATTATACTCTTTGGGGGCAGGGGTGCCCATGTGTTTCCTCTTGTCTGATATTGCTGATAAAAGAATAATTTTACTAATTTTCAGTATTTGATTTTAAATCTTGAATTGGCTTCAGAACAGGTTAGTTATGACATTTCTTCTTTAAATTTATTTTCTGGGAAATAGAATTAAACTTTTTCCTTGTTGATAGTAAGGAGTAAGATGACAGCTCTTACAATTTTGGTTGTCATTTGTCAAGTTATTGTGGTTTAAAATATTTGTTAATGATATTAAGTCATGTCACCCTAAGAATTACTTAAAGGCAAGTGGGTTTCATTCATCTAAATATACTTTCCTAACAGAATAATTTTAGTTAAATTTTTATCCTTAGGGCCTGAACGTAGAAGTGTGGAAATTGATAACAAAAACAAAACCATCACAGCATATCATGAATCTGGTCATGCTATTATTGCATATTATACTAAAGATGCAATGCCTATCAACAAAGCTACAATCATGCCACGAGGGCCAACACTTGGACATGTAAGTATCTTGTAGTTTTTTTTCTTTTCTTTCAAGTAACACTCTCCAAAAACTTATGTAGGAAATTATTGATGAAAATAATTAAAAAGAAAATTCAACTAATTCCTAAGTTTGCTGAGAACTTTCTTCTTTAACATTCTGAACCATTGTGAAATCAGAGATACTGGTGAAACATCTGCTAATAAAGAATACTAATATTTCAAATATTATATATTTACATTATGAAATTTAAATGTGGAATGACAACAAAGTATCATTCTTAAATATGTAATTGCTCTTTTCCCTCCACAAAGAAACTATGTCAGTGGTTCCATAGTTTTTCTAAGATTTTTCTTATTGAGTACAAGTTTCATTTTCATACCTTTCTAATGATAGACATTTTAAGCATTTTTGTGCACCTGGGTATAAGTCCATCCTCTTGCAGCATCATATACGTATTACATATAAAATGAACTTTTGCCTTATAAAGAATTTTTCTTATTTTGTATATTGCCAGTTTTGTCATTAGTCGCCTGAGACCATCTCTACTAAATTTTTTTGAGCTGTCAGCATCATGATATTAAGTACTCTAGCAAGAGCCAAATGATAATTCTGATTATTAATATAGGTATTTCAAACTGTGTCTGAAGTTTTTCTTTGTTTTCAATTGTCTAGGTGTCCCTTTTGCCTGAGAATGACAGATGGAATGAAACTAGAGCTCAGTTGCTTGCACAGATGGACGTTAGTATGGGAGGAAGAGTAGCTGAGGAGCTTATATTTGGAACTGACCATATCACAACAGGTTGGCTGTAAAGAATGGCTTTAGTTCAAATTGTGCTTGCTGATTTAAAAATACTTTAAAAAATTGAGTTCTATGTATATTTTAAAATTTTAGGTGCTTCCAGTGATTTTGATAATGCAACTAAAATAGCAAAGCGGATGGTTACCAAATTTGGAATGAGTGAAAAGGTAATAGCTAATTTTAACCCTTCCTCATGTATCAAATGATGATTTGCCAAGTGTCTGTTTATGAGAGAGGGTTCTTTTTTTTTTTTTAAGATTTTATTTGAGAGAGAGCGAGCGAGAGAGAGAGAAAGCATGAGACGGGGGAGGGTCAGAGGGAGCAGGGAACCCGATGCAGGACTTCAGTCCTGGGACTCTGGGACCATGACCTGAGCCGAAGGCAGTCGCTTAAATAACTGAGCTACCCAGGCGCCCTATGAGAGAGTGTTCTCATTATAAATTGGTAACATTTACTTCCCCCCCCGCCCGTCTCATTTCAAGTAGATTTGTCACAGCTTATTCTAAACTAAACTGTTTTTGTTTTTTGAGTAGTAACATAGTATTCACTTTCCATTCTAGCTGCTTGGACAATAACAGTATCTCATGAGTTAAGCAAATGATAAGATATTCTATTTTCTGTTCTTATGACATAAAACACCTATTTGCTGAGCTTGCTTACTTTACCCTTTCCACATATTTCACTCTCTTACTTTATCACTGTGGCTTCATGAATCATTTCTAATACATTACATTGTGGATTTCTGGATTTGGAATAGCTGCAAAGGTTTTCGAAGAAGGTACTCAGAGCCATACTTATTATTTTAAATTTTTTCTCTTATATTTTTAATTTTAGTCTTATACTTTCAGAAGAATGATGAAATTTCTTTGCCCTCAAGGGTGTTTTTATATTGAATTTCTTCCTTGTCCCCATGATGTTTCCTTAAGTATAGGATAGTACTTCCTCTGTTACATTTATTAGTGGTTTAGGGTTTTTCTGTTCAATTTCTTTTCGTTTGTTTTAGCTTGGAGTTATGACCTACAGTGATACTGGGAAACTGAGTCCAGAAACTCAATCTGCTATTGAACAAGAAATTAGAATCCTTCTAAGGGTAATGATCATATTTTTATATGCTTATTTGTCTGGTCATAATGTGCCTCAATAGTTAGGTACTACCAGAAGATAATGGTTATCCCCTGTTTAGAAATGTCACTATGTATAATAAAGAGAGTAAGTGCACCATTGAAACCATGATTTCAATATGTTGTTTGGGAGCCTCTGGTCATAGACTGAATATTTTATTCTGGCTATAGGCTAGGAAGGGTTAATATCAGTAATTATAAATATTCTACTTAAGCTGTAAAACCATAGAGTTGTTAGAATAGGGGATATTGATTATTTGAGTCTTTATTGGTTTTTCACTCTGACATATATTTTATTCAACAAATATTATTTGCTTTGTGCCTAGCTGCATGCATGTGCTGAGAATGAAGCACAAAGTTCTTTGAAAACAAAAGTCTTTTTGATTGCAGTGTGCAGTACAGAATATGTGAGCATAGACTCAGTGAGATCAGTTGGTAGTTACTGTGGAGTCTCCTTATGGTACAGCAGATGCTTGGATTAGGGCAGTGAGTGTAGAAATTGAGAAAATGCGTTCAAGAGATACTGATCTAGTGGAATCAAAATGTCTTTTTGATGTTTGGGTGAGAGAGCAGCTAAATTAAATACAAAGCTGTTTCTGCCTCAAGCAGCTGTATAGTTGTGTGTGCCATTTACTGAGAAAACACTGATGATGGCCTAAGGTGGGGAAGTATGTAGATTATGAGCTGAATTTTATACATATTGAATTTGAGGTGTCTTTTTTTTTATTTTATTTGTTTATTTGAGAGAGAGAACGAGAGAGCGAGCATGAGTGGGGTGGGTGAGGGGCAGAGGGAGAAGCAGACTGCCTGCTGAGCAGGGATTCTGACGTGGGGTTTGATCTCTGGACTCTGGGATCATGACCTGAGCTGAAGGCAGACGCTTAACCAACTGAGCCACCCAGGTGCTCCTGAATTTGAGGTGTCTTAGTGAAGATTTCAAGTTGAGGGAGCTACGTGGACCTGGTGCTTAGTGCAGAGGTTCGATATGTGCATTCCATTTGGACGTGCATGAAGGCAGGTCTTGGAATGGAAAAGACAGAGCTAAATTCCAGAAAGTCTAGTGAATGAGAACTGTAATTAGGGTAGTAGATTGCAAAATCAAGGATGTTGAATAGGGCTACAGTCAGATGGTGTAAACTTCAAAGGAATCGTGCTTTATGGAAGAGGGTAGCATAGTAATGGTCTGTCAGCGGTGAGGGGAACAAAGAGTTCACCTCTTTACCCTGAAATGTCTGGGATAAGAATCAATAGCTGCCACTGGAGGGCTCAGGAGTCTCCCCCAGGAGGGCGAGGTTTTGATTAACTTAAGGAGGTAGAAAATGGTTTAAAGTCATTAAGTATATGAAAAGTTTATATAATGGAAAGGTTTAGAAGGTGTTTCAGAAGAGGAATTCTCTCTGCCTTCCCTGAATCTTCATTCTCTTTCCTTTACTATTTATGTTGAGTAAATCTATACTCTAGTATTCTTAGGGCATTGGAAATACTCTTTCTTTGCTCTAGTACTTTTCTGAAATGTTAAGATTGGGAAGGCTGTAGGTACTCTTTCCACTAGATGGCACGCTTACATTGTTATTAAGGGAAATGATGACTAGCTAGTATACATTTTAGGTTCAAATGTTTATGAAACTTAAAAATATGAAAACCTTATCGTAGTCTTTCATGTTACAATGTAAGGATTTCATTCCAATGAAGTTTTTAAAGTTAATACTAATTCATCCTTGGATATTAGTTTCAATATTCCATGACACATTTATAATACTTTATATGTTTTCTTTAATTTGATGATTTCACTTGACCGTAACGGTTTTGTTCAGAATGTCTAATGATGTTTATTTTTAATAATTGTGTTATGTTTATATGACTTATGCTTCTTGATGTTGGTAAACTCATTTTACAGTGGTATAGTTGTCACAGGCTGACAGAGTTGTTATCAAATAACACAATAGAAAAGTAGATCTTTTCTGCTGAAATCTCACAAGGCAAAAGGAGCAAACCTCCCTTTCCTTTTTAACATGTATATTGAATAGAGAAATAGATTTCTTTGTTCACAGACCTTATTTAAAATGCAGATAAGTATAATACATACTTTTATATCTTTAAGTAGCTCCCTAAGTAATCCTCATTTATCAATGTGATAGATTTTGAGGTTAAAAATAGAACATTTGCAAATACGAAACTTCTCTTTGAGAACCAAGCTTGCCCTATCTCTATCTATCTATCTATCTATCTATCTATCTATCTAATCTATCTATCTATCAAGTAGGCTCCACGCCCAGCATGGAGCCCAATGCTTTTATCTTTTATAAGTAGAAATGAATATATTTCATATTTTTTAAGGCATATACATTTTTTTTTCTTATTTATGGTTTTTGCTTCTCCTAAGTTTTCTGCCTCTTAGATACCTGCTTTTTTCATTTCAGGACTCATACGAACGAGCGAGACATATCTTGAAGACTCATGCAAAAGAGCATAAGAATCTAGCAGAAGCTTTACTAACCTATGAGACTTTGGATGCCAAAGAGATTCAAATTGTTCTTGAGGGAAAGAAATTGGAAGTGAGATGATAACTCTTAAAATGGATGCATTGCTGGTTTTACTGCAAGAATATATAAGTAGCATTTCAGTAGTCTTTTGCAATGCTTTTCTCCCATTCTTGCCTTGGTGTCACTCAAGGGTGTGAAACACTTTGTCTCTCTTTTGTCATGTTTAATCTAATTTTGGTTATTCTCATAATGACACCTATTGCAAATTATCAACCCATAATAAATATGTTAAAGAAAATAAAGAACTATTAGGATTGGAAACAGCTTGTTTGAGAAATGTCAATAAGTTATTCATTTGAAAATAAGTAGTAATTTTATGGTTGGTTCCTCTACTAGACGTGAGTAAAAATTGTGCCTTTAGCTCTTTGGAAGTATTTTTACTTGGCAAAGTAAAATTGTTGAAGGATTGTCTTTGTTTTTAGATAGTACCTTTTATCTTTGTTAAAGATATGCTGCCGTTTGGCTATCGGTGAACCATATTTCTATATAGGTCAGTGGAAACTTCATTAAGATGCACTTAATTATGCTCCAGAGTGTCCATATATAAAATAGTTCTTTTTGTTTTTGCCTAAGAGTAGAGAATTGTAAATGTACAGATATAATCAGAGTTTAAATGATTATAACCTTTTGGAAATGCAGCTTGCATTTTCATGGTCTTTTTTCTTTTAAACATCATTATCATTCTTACTAATGAAATTTATTTCAGAGCTGCAAGTGTTTTGTTAAATAAAAAGTGAGTCACTTCAAAATCTAAATAACTATAATTATGCTTGGTATTAAAAGAAAAATTAACCCAAAATCTCAGTCCCTTCAGAGTGAACTTTGAATTACCCTATGTTAGAAATGGAAAGTTGTGTTTGCTTTTCATTTGGATTTTGTGAATATGAACATGTTGTTACAGGATTTACAGATGACTTTATTTAACTCAATAGAAAAATTATTTTAGAGCTCATTGTATTGGTTTTACAACCAAATATATTCTTGAAGTGATTTTATTAAAATTACCTACAGTTTTCTAATAACTTTTAAGCTGTATATGGTCTTCATTGAAGAAGTTAATAGAGGGAGTTTGCTATACAATATCCTCGCCTCTTTTTTTTTTATAATTTTAAATTTTGATCTAATTTCAAACTTACAGAAATGTTACTGGAATAATACAAGGAACTCCCATATACCCTTGGTCCACATTCATCATCCCATTTTTTAATTGCCCACCTCCCTTTCCCTTTTCTCTTCTCCTTCCCTCTCCCTCTCTCCTTCCTTACTTCTCCCTGGATGTATACATGTCTTTGTGCAGATGCATGTTTTATTTTTCTTGGATAGACTTCTATGATTGAAATTGCTGGGTCATGTAGTAATTTTCTGTTTACCTTTTAAAGAACCTGATGAACTGCATCATTCTCTACATCTTCTATAGTATATTCTTATAGTCTGTCTTTTTGATAAAGTCATTCTAGTGTGAATGAAATAATATCTCATGGATTAACATACATTTATCTACACTAGTGATATCCTCTCCTGTTTTATTGGCCATTTTTATATTTTCTTTGGAGAAATGTCCATTCAGACCACTCTCCCTGTCACTTTTGGGTTATTTGTCTTATTATGTGTTGTAAGAGATCATATATTCTGAATACAAGTCCTTTATCGATCTTGCTTTTTTTATCCAGTCCAGCAATCTCTGTTGGGTGGATGTTTAGTTAATTCAAATTTAGTATTGATATACTTGTTTCTACACTTCTCATTTTGCTTTTTGTTTTTTTGGTTTTTTTTCCCATATCTAAAAAGATCCTGGGCACCTGGGTGGCTCAGTTGTTAAGCGTCTGCCTTCGGCTCAGGTCATGATCCCAGGGTCCTGGGATCGAGCCCCGCATCGGGCTCCCTGCTCTGCAGGAAGCCTGCTTCTCCCTCTCCCACTCCCCCTGCTTGTGTTCTTGCTCTCGCTATCTCTCTCTGTCAAAAAAATAAATAAAATCTTTTTTTTTTTTTAAAGATTTTATTTATTTATTTGCGAGCGAGAGAATGAGAGACAGAGAGCACGAGAGGGAGGAGGGTCAGAGGGAGAAGCAGACTCCCCGCTGAGCAGGGAGCCCGATGCGGGACTCGATCCCGGGACTCCAGGATCATGACCTGAGCCGAAGGCAGTCGCTTAACCAACTGAGCCAGCCAGGCGCCCCATAAATAAAATCTTTTAAAAAAACTAAAAAAAAAAGATCCTTCTGTTCCTCCTTTTTTGAATTACATCTTAGTGGTTAATCGAGGTATGACCTTGTGCATCTTATCAGTCTACTTTAATTCTGGTCAAATGTAGGAACTTTGTTACAATATATCTCATTTTTTTCTCTGTGCTGTTAGTGTCATATGTTAGATCTGTGCATGTTACAGCAACTCAACAATACAGTGACATAACTAGTGCTTTATATAATCTTATTTCCTCAGTCTTTCTCTGGGAATGTCTTTTATTTTGCCTTTTTTTTTTTTTTTAAGAATCGTTTTGCTCAATATAGAATACATGGTTGACTTTTTTTTTCTTTAATCATTTTGATTGTTTTTTTCCAGATTTTATTTTTTTGACAGAGAGAGACACAGCAAGAGAGGGGACACAAGCAGGGGGAGTGGGAAAGGGAGAAGCAGGCTTCCCACGGAGCAGGGAGCCTGATGCGGGACTCGATCCCAGGACCCTGGGATCATGACCTGAGCCGAAGGCAGACGCCCAACGACTGAGCCACCCAGGTGCCCCCATTTTGATTATATTATCCCATAGGCTCTTGGCTTTCATTATTTTTTGTAAGAAGTCAGCTGTTAGTCATAATTTTGGTCTCCTTTTGTGATAGGTTGTTTTTTTCTCTTGCTGATTTCAAGGTTTTGTTTTTGTTTGCTTATCCTTGTCTTTTACCAGTTTGACCATGATGATGTGTTTAGGTGTGGATGTCCTTTTGTTTTTCCTAGTTGGGATTTATTGGGCTTCATAGATCTGTAGATTAGTTTTTCATCAAATTTAAGCAATTTTTGGCAATTATTTCTTCAAATATCTGTCCTTTTCTATCTCTTCCTTCTGGGAGTCTCCTCACATATGTGTTGGTACACTTAACGTTGACCTAGTTTCTGAGGCTTTGTTCATTTTCTTCATTGTTTTTTCTCCCTCTCTGCGTGAGGTTGAATAATTTCTGTTGATTCTTCAAGTTCATGGATTCTTCTGTCATCTCAAATCAGTTGAATTTTCCATTTCAGGTACTGTATTTTTCAGCTCTAAGTTTCCATTCAGTTCTTTCATTTACTTTGTATCTTTTTTTTTTTTGAGATTCTTCATGCATTGCATAATTTTCATCACAGTTTTCATTAATTCTTTAAACACGACTTCCATTAGTTCTTTGACCATGTCCGTATAGCTGCTTTTAAATCTTTGCTGAATCTACCATTTGGAAATAGTCAGTTTCTCCTTAATGCTTTTCTTCCTTAGTAAGGGTCACACTTTCTTGTTTCTTTGCTTTGTAATCTTGTTGAATTTCAGATAATGTAGCAATTATGGATTCTGATTTCCTCCCCAGGGGGTTGTCTTGTTTAGTAACTTGCCTCCAGTAAATTTATGAAGTCCGTCTCTATTACAATGTGCAGCCATTGATGTCTCTGTTAATTTTTAAAATTTTTATAATCTTGCTTCCTAAAGGTTGCTGCTGTACCTGCATACTTTAACATTTAGCCAAAGATTGGATGGACATTGTGTTTAAACCCCATCATTCATGCCTTCTACTCTGCTGATGGATCTGTGTGGGCTTCAGGTCCATTCAACATTTGAGTCATTTTCAAGGCTGCCCTGGTTTTTGCTTTCTAACAGGCTTTTTGCTTCTCTTTTGGGTGTATGTGCACGCCTTGGCAACCATGGGTATGTGGGTGGCTTGAACCAGCTTCAGTTTCTACTCTGCATACCTCTGGTAAATCTGGAGTCTATGGAGTGCTTATCAAATCCAGATGGCTATCTTACCTCTCAGAACTTAAAGTTAAATACTTTGCTACTCTTACCTTGTTTGCAGCAAACAGGATTGCAACCTCAGGCTAGAGAACTCTGTGCTTAGCATGGAGCCACTCTGACTTCCTCTGCATCAGGTCAAGCAAGTCCCTTCTGGCAGTGACAACAAGTTCTGGCATGGGAAGTGAGAGCACAGCACCACAGACTCACACAGCTCTTACCAAATTTGCTTCAGTGATTTTCATGAATAAACACTTCTTAGTTTGTTGTAGGTCTTCAGTTGATTTCCAGAGTTTTTAAAATAATTTTATCCAACTTTATAGTTGCTTTTTTAAAAGTGGGGATGATTTGTCAGCATCCTCACCTCATTGTACTGAAAGTTAATCTCCCTCACTTGTTTTGAATCCTACTCCAACCAAAGCAATTTAATAACAATAGACCTAGAGAGGACTGTTAAACTTTTCAGAGCTATCCCTTCAGAGCTCCCAGAACGCCAGAGTTTGACATGTAACCTTTATTAAGTTGATTACTTTTGGTAATGGATACATGTTTTATTTTTAGATATTCTTTGTGTTTATTTGTATTCATTTTAAAGTAAATACTGAGTTACTTCAATCCAGCTGGTTATGAGTATATTTCTTAATGTAAGTACGTAGTATTTTAATAAAATATGTTGGAATGTAGAATTGATCTTTGGATTGAAAAAAATAATACCTAGTCATGGACATAAGAATTGGGAGAGTTGATATATTTGAACTGAGGACTTTATTTCTATGCCAATCCTCTTCTACCCCCCATTGTGTCACAGGTGAATCCCCATTCTTTGAGGCAAGAATGTGGATCCCCCACCCCATTTAGACCGTGGACTTAATTTAGTTATATATAAATGGTATGTTGTCTTCAGTCTTGCATCATATGGTAATATAATGGGTAGGTAATCTGTTACGAATTTGAGAATGCATTTAATGGGAAAGAAAGCTAATTACAAAGCTGCCAAAATGGGAGGGTGAGAAGGTACTTATTTCTCATAAAACCTAGTTTGGAGAGCTTGATATGAATCACTTGCAGTTCTGGAAGTATAAATGTTTGGCTTATATTCAGGAAACCTGGAACCTGAGAGGACTGGTAAGGTGCTTTGGCTAATGAAAGAAGTCTAATGTTAGTTGAAGCTGTTCTGTACTCTCAGCATTTGGTTTGACAGAAACTACTTGAGTGCTAATGAAGGACCAGATGTTTGTCAGGTGTGGAGAGTGAGCCCTTGTGGGAGGCTCCATTTTAGGTACTGTACAAAAGGGTTGCTTAGAGGTGCAAAGAGGCCTCACAAGAAGACAATCCAGAGTGGATCTCTGGATTCCTTAAGAGCTAAGAAGAAAGAAAGACCAACAGAATGGATTGCATTCACTCAGGTCAAGGGAATTGCAGGTGAGAACAGCCGTGGGTACAGAAGTGCCCCTGAGAGAAGCTCAGCTTTAAAATAACTGCCGGCAGGCGCCTGGCTGGCTCAGTTGGTTAAGTGACTGCCTTCGGCTCAGGTCATGATCCTGGAGTCCCGGGATCGAGTCCCGCATCGGGCTCCCTGCTCGGCAGGGAGTCTGCTTCTCCCTCTGACCCCCCCTCTCATGTGCTCTCTCTCTCTCTCTCATTCTGTCTCTCTCAAATAAATAAAAATATTTTTTTAATTAAAAAAAAATAATAACTGCTGGGCACCTGGCTGGCTCTGTCAGTAGGGCATGTGACTCTTCATCTTGGGATCATGACTGTAAGCCCCATATTGGGGCTTTAAAACAAAACAAAAATAAAAACCTAAAATAGATGCAGGATCTAGTTACAATGTAGCTGTAAAGTGCTGCCTTGTCTTTGCCCCCTGCTCAAAATAAAGCTGTTACCTTTCTAGCCCTGTCCGCCATGGTGCTTAGCAGCCAGGGATGCATGGTCTCAGACATGTTTACCAAGTAAAACACTGACTTGAGAGGCTCCTGGGTGGCTCAGTGGTTAAGTGACTGCCTTCGGCTCAGGTCATGATCCTGGAGTCCCGGGATCGAGTCCCGCATCGGGC